TGTCCTCTCTCTCTCTCTCTCTCTCTCTCTCTCTCTCTCTCTCTCTCTCTCTCTCTCTCTCTCTACTTTAATACCTCATTATTGAAAACTGTCATAATCTAAAAATAACCAAATGCAAAATTAAGGTCATAGTCCTCCAGGCTCCCACATCTGCCCAAGACTTTTGACATCAACTGAGAATTTGCCAAACTGCAAAGTCAAAGGGAAGATTCTCTAGGAATTGCCTCCGCTTTAGATACCACTCACGAATTTTAGAATATTTACTGAAAAATGGGTTCACTGGCCACTGGTTATCAACTGTTTAAGTCTGCTAAGAAAGAATACGCCCTCCCCAGATATAAATTAAATGAAGTGACCTTATTACTTACAGATGGGCAGCACAAAACAAAAGCCTAGAATCCACTGTGAGCTGGTCCGTGAAGGTTCAGGAAATCTGCCCAGGACAGAGAGAGTTTCTACTGCATATACCCTACTTGCACCACTGCTGAGGGACCCCAAAAGGCATCCCCTTAAGGGTTATATCCTGAAGTTACATGACACAGTCTTCCTCGGGTTCAGTAATTTACTAGAACAACTCAGAACTTAGGAAGATGCTATAGTTATGCTTTCAGTTTTTAGATAGTGAAAAGATACAAATTAGAACCAAATAAAACAAGAGATGCATAGGACAAAATCTGGAAGGGCTCCAAATGTGAAACTTCCATCATCCTCATGAACATGTTACCCCTCAGCATTGATACAAGAGTATTGCCAACTGGGGACGCTCACTCCAGCTTTAGTGTCTAGAGTTTGTACTGGGGTTTCATTATGTGGACATGAGTGATTAAATTATTGCCTGCATAGCTAAGCTCAATCTATAGACCTACCCTTCTTATCCCAAGAGGTCAGGCCAATAATGCATAGCTCAAAGACTGCACCCTCTACATGAGGGTCCTTCTACTATATAACCATTGCTCCTAAGACTATTGTTGTGGCTAGCACCATCCCGAGAAATTTCCTTAGCATAAAGTATCAAGTAAGAACTAAAACCATAGTCAACAAAGGCATCCATATTATAAAGATTTAGCTGTAACCTTTCAGGAACCAGGGACAACGGCCAGACCTCTCTGGCTGAGGCCAGATTCTTTATTATGAAGCCATATGCTTAAACAATACCAAATGGGGACCAGCAGATGGTATAATGGTTATGTTGCTGGACTCCCACGTGGTCAACTACGATTAGAGTCCCAGACCCAGTGGTTTAAAACTCACACTAGGTGTGCATGTGTGCCCAGGATCCCGAGAAGAAAATAGAGGAGAAGGATCTGTAGTGTGGCTATCCCCCTAGAGGGTGATTTCTCACTTTCTGTCTCTCTGTCTTTGTCTCTCTGGTAACTACACATGCCCTATAGCAAAAATCTCTCTCTTAAAAAAAAATATATATATATATGTATGTGTGTGTGTGTGTGTGTGTGTGTGTGTGTGTGTGTGTATAATTACTTTAAGGTAAGGTCATTTTATAGCATTTTATGGGATACTGGGCACTAGCCAAGACAATTACAAGGCATTAAAGGATAAATATACATAGAATCCATTGTACTTATACTAGCATAATACAATACCTCAAACTTAGCAACCTATGGACTTTTCACCAGAAAAATGAAATCTCTGTTTGTTCCAGAACACACTGAGTAATATGCTTTTTTTTTCCTCATACCAATCTGTAAGCTTCTTGAAGACAACTGTGGTTTAATGTCTTCTAAGCCTAGCCAGAGCTTAGTACAATTAATATTTGTTATATAGAATTGATGACAGTACTTTTTGCAAAGCATCTCAGAACGAATAATGATCTGGAGTTTACTTTTTATGAGGTCTCTATATCCTGTAGATACCGTAGGACTGAATGCTCTAGTCCTAGAAGCAGAGAGAGTAGCCTGGAAGTCTTATGACATATTTTGTTTAATTCCTTGGTGTTTTTCAATTGCTGGCACCATCTAATTTTACATTTTTAAAAAATTGATTTTCATCTTCTTTTGAAAAAAACCTAGTAACATTGAGCCTGCCTGCCTCGATTATAACAACTGGATAGAACTAAACAGTGGTTCCTTTTTGACTGAGCATTGCCCAACACTCCCTTATGCCTGTGTAACTCATTTATTGTCTTCGAGACTCCCATCCCAGAGGACTGGATTGGAAGAAATTGGAAAGATAAATATTTTATACCAAATATTTTTCAACCAGGGCCAGAAAATGGTCTTTATAGACCTTATATACTAAAAATATCATTAGGTTCCTTCTCCTATACATAAATGCAAATAAAATATTAAACTATTAAATATAAGGCAAAGCAACAAAGTTACAATTCTTCACATGATATTTACTCTAATATGGGTTTTAAAATATGAAAATTTGGGGGCCAGCAGGTAACATGATGGTTAAGGCCCTGGACTCCCTCGTGGCCCACAGTTTGAGTCCCAGTCCTGGTGGCTTATTTTCTCATTTTCCCTTCCTCCCTCCCTCTCTTCTCTCTCATGAGTGCACAAGCCCTATAGCAAATTTTAAAATAATAATAAACAAAACTTTTTTTAATGAAAAAAGGGTTTTTTTTAGATTTTAGTATAGGGCACGTGCACTCAACCAGAAAAGACAAAGAGAGGTAAAATGAGAAATCACCCCCCAGAGGGGATGACTACACCACAATCCCTTCTCCTCCATTCTTGGAAATTCGAGCATGCACGCACACATGCGGGATATGAGTTTTAAGCTGCCAGGTTCAGGACTCAAACCATAGCCAGCTATGTGGGAGCCCAGCTCCTTAACCACCATGCCACCTGCTGGCCCCTGAAATTCTTATTTTACTGGATCTCTGGACTCAGGCTTTGTCTGCTTTTGGAGTAAACAGCACTCATTCAGCAAATATTGTTTTCTGAATTTTGACCCTTCTCCTAAAAGCAGAAGGAATTGCATGACAGAGTCACAGGGGGAATACAGTCTCAGCTGGCTAGAGAAGGGAGAGGTCTTACTGGGCTTTGCATGGCATAGAACCAATA